CAAATATTGGCTAACTCCCTGAACCAAGGAGCAACACTGTTAGTGGTGGGATAGCATTTCCAAGGAGAGAAATTGTGAGCTGGCATTCTTGCTGAGCCATAATGGAGGTGCTCGCAGAATACGAAGATGCCCAAAACAGAATTAAAACCAGGTTTACAACACGAACCGGAGACTTCTCAAAATAATTTAAAACAGGAGCTGAAGACCTTGGAAAAAAAATTAAAGAAACATATAGAGATTTCCCAGAAAGGACTGAGAGACCTGTGGTTGGAGATACAAATCTTTGTCTGGACAGATTTGGAAACCCAACTACAAAACTCCCAACCTGGAATGGCAGGATGGATTGATGAGGTAACCAGCAACTTGATTATCATGGACAAGCCTTTCCAGGAAATAGAAGAGAACAGGAAAACTTTGTCTAATTTGGAACTTCCTAACAGAGATGAGCTGCTGTAAAGACTTAAGGAGCTTAAAAAAAAATAATTAAAAAAAAAATCAGCTTCAGAAGTAAATCAAAATGTCATTGCCCAGAGTGGAAGTAATCCATTTGGTTGAGGAATTGGGCCAGCCAAAGCACATGGATAAAACAGGACATTTGCAACCCTTTTCTACCCCCCTTTACAACAGAGGCTCAGAGGGGAGAGATCTGATTGTTGCAACTCAAGTAATACAAAAGCCAACTTTCTTTGAAGGATTAATTTCTTGGGAGGCTTATTTGGCTCAATTTAACATACCCCAGATGAACAGAGAAGGGGGTTTTTATCAGCCAACTTGAATGGAGCAGCTCTGATGGTCTTCAGAACTTACCCCAAGAAAATCACCAATCATCCAGATTTGGTGCTAGGCGTTGATATGCAGTTTGGAGTCATCCATCAATAAAAGCTGCATAGGGTGCAGCTGAGGGCAAGGAGATGGAAAGAAGCGAATCCACCTAAACTGATAGAAGCCCTGAGGAGATTTGTGTTCCTGGCATAACTAGATACCAGTGAGAACTTCCAGGATATATTAGCAATGGACCAATTTATAGATGATCAACTGGACTTGCAGATCAAGATCAGTGAAAGGAGGTCAAGAATACTCTGAGAGGCTGTGGAAATTGCCACAGAACTTGAATCTTTCCTAGCAGCAACCCACCAGAAAATGTAGCAGATGCTAGTGAGGAAAATGCAAGCTGATCTCCATGAGCCTTCAATCAGTTCTTGGACCTCACGCATAGTTCTGGCTAAAGAAGAAGATGGCAGCACCAGATTCTGTGTGGACTATAGAAAACTAAATGAAGTAACTTTAATCAGTTATGATTAGATGATACTCTGAATGCTGTAGCAGGTTCAGTCTGGGTTTTCCAATCGGGATCCTATAAGTATTGGCAAGTGGAAAGGTATCCACAGGATAGGGAAAAAATTTGCTTTCACAGCAGGACAAGAGGAGGCAGGCTTCAAATCCAAAGTCAGAGCTAATTTACAACTTATTTTGCCCTCTGAGACTCACCAACTAATCAAGATTTAATAAATGACCCTTATCGTGGGCCCGATCTTGCTCCCACTGAATATTGGGAGGAAGGGTTGGCCCCATCTCTGAATTAATCAGTTGAAGGATTATCTACATGTGATGTTACTGCACGGCAAGCCAGGATGTAAATCTACATCACATTAGCTTGCTGTGCAGTAACATCCAATGCGAAAACTGGTACAGTACACGAAAAATTCCATCATTAGCCATTTGACAGACTTTCAACTCACTATATCAGTGTCCATATGGGACATTACTATGCAACAAGCTAGTGCTCTGTAGATTTGCACCCTGGCATGCAGCTGTGTTCCTTGTAGGCAAGTCCTGAGCCTAAGAGAGTCTAGGGCTAGGTCTACACTGGGGGCGGTGGGGGTCGACCTGAGATACACAACTTCAGGTACACGAATAGCGTAGCTGAAGTCAGCGTATCTTAGGTCGATTTACCTGGCCGTGAGGACAGCGGCGAGTCGACCGCTGACACTCCCCCGTTGACTCCGCTTCTGCCTCTCACCGCGGTGGAGTTCCGGAGTCGACGGCAGAGCGACCAGGGATCGATTTTATTGCGTCTACACTAGATGTGATAAATCGATCCCCGATAGATTGATCACTACCCGCCGATCCGGCGGGTAGTGTAGACGTACCCTAGGATTGTTTAATTCAAGGTCAAGGGGTTGAGAGAAGCATAGCAGAAAAAGCAATTAACAGGAGGGTGTTAGAATATGCAAGCTAAAATATGTCACCTATTACTTACACTTTGTCTCTTCAGCATCTGAGGGCATGACTACACTGGCAAAGTTGCAGCGCTGGCAGTTACACAGCGCAGAAGGGAAACCGCTGCTGTGTGCATAGGCACCAACTTTCCCGGCGCCGGTGGGTGCTCGTGCCCCCCGCCCCGACTCCACCCTTTCCCCGCCCCTTCCCCAAATCCCTGCCCCGGCCCTGCCTCTTCCCCAAGCGCTCCGTGTTTCCCCTCCTGCCCCCATCCCTCCCAGCCACGCGAAACAGCTGTTTTGTGGTGGAAGCGCTGGGAGCTAGGGGGAAAAAGCAGGCACATGGCGTGCTCAGGGGAGGAGGTAGAGTGGAGGCAGAGCAGAGGCAGAGGTGAGCTGGGCAGGGAGCTGCTGGTGGGTGCAGAGCACCGACCAATTTTCCCCTGGAGTCGACACCTGTGGTTGTGTGTTCACACTGACCGCTGCCTGCACAATAGCATGTTCACACTTGCGGCGGTATTCGGAACGGTGCACTTTGGGTAGCTATCCTACAGAGCACCTATTTCTATTTCGCCGCTAAGATTTGTTGAAGGTGGGTCTTTGGGTATCCTGGGTCCTGTCCCAATGCCCTGCGATGCATTGCTTCGCATTCCAGCAATCCCTGTGCTTCCGTCCGCATTTGGCGCAATCTTTCAACGGTTTGTGTATTGCGCGCCCTGCCTCTTTCGGGCAGCAGGAATGGATCCCGAACTGCTGACCAGTATGCTGCTCGCTCTGACCAACACATCACGAGTGACAGTGGAATTATTCCTTAACCTACAAAGTCAAGAGGAGTGCTACATTGATCTCGCCACACATAGTAGCTATGACATGAGATTGCTTGTGGTATTCACTGAGGTGCTGACCACAGTGGAACGCCGCTTTTGGACTCGTGAAACAAGCACTGAGACGTGCATTGTGATGCACATCTGGGATGATGAGCAGTGGCTGCAGAACTTTCGCATGAGGAAAGCCGCACTCATGGCTTTGAGTGTGTGATGAGTTTGTCCCATCCCTGCAGCACAAGGATGTGAGAATGAGAGCTGCCCTGTTGCTGGAGAAGCGTGTGGCAATTGCACTGTGGAAGCTGGCTACTCCAGACTACTACTGATCGGTAGCAAACCAGTTCGGAATTGGAAAGTCGACCGTTGGAGTCGTGTTGATGGAAGTGTGCAGGGCCATTAATCACATCCTTCTCCGCAAGACTGTGACTCTGGGCAATGTGTGTGCCATTCTGGATGGCTTTGCACAAATGGGCTTCCCTAGCTGCAGAGGGGTTAGAGATGGCACGCACATTCCAATTCTGGCATCAGACCACCTAGCCACCAAGTACATTAATCACAAGGAATATTTCTCAATGATTCTCCATATGCTTCTGGATCACCGTGGGGGTTTCACAGACATTAACACAGGCTAGTCCTGAAAGGTGCATAACGCACGCATCTTTTGGAACACTGGCCTATTCATAAAAAGAACAGGAGTACTTGTGGCACCTTAGAGACTAACAAATGTATTTGAATTGCAAACAGGGACTTTCTTCCCGGACCAGAAGATCACCATAGGGGAAGTCAAAATGCCCATTGTGATCCTGGGAGACCCTGCCTACCCCTTAATGCTGAGGTTTAAGAAGCCATACACAGGGCAACTTGACAGCAGCAAGGAGCGGTTCAACAACAGGCTGAGCAAGTGCAGAATGTCTGTTGAGTGTGCATTTGGCCACTTAAAAGCCCGCTGGCGATGCCTGTATGGGAAGCTGGACCTTGCCGATGACAATATTCCTATACTTATAGCCGCGTGCTGTACGCTCCGTAATATTTGTGAAGGGAAGGGTGAAAGCTTCACTCAGGGCTGGACTGCAGAGGCTCAGCACCTGGAGGCTGAGTTTGAACAGCCAGAGACCAGGGCTATTAGAGGGGCACAGCGCGGGGCAATAAGGATCAGGAATACCTTCAGGCAGCAATTTGAAGCTGAAAGCCACTATCTTTGTTGCCTTGCTCAGGATTGCAGTGTTTGTAATGCTAGGAGGTGATTGGTGCACATGATGCAAGAAGGGGGCTTAACATAACTGTATGTTGCTTTGCAGTGCTCGTTTTGCTTTCACATAGTAGAATAAAGATTGCTTTCAAACCAACACAATTATTTTATTAAAAGACAACAACTGGAGAAGAGAGTTAAATGAAAAGATTCATCAGCAGGGAGGGGGAGAGGGGAAGGGAAGGTCTCCAGAGGGGAAGGGGGTCCCAAAATGGCTACAGATTTGTGTATGCCCAGGGATCATGCCCAACCTTTCCTTTGAAGTACAACACAGAGGGTGCTGTACTGCAGCAGGGCAAAACTGCAGAGGGATGGATGTTGAGTGCAGTGGGTAGTGGGAGTCCACAGTGCTGGACTGTGAACAGGGAGGATTGGAATGCTGCGGGTAGAGAGTGGAGACAGGAGGTTGATAACAGTGTGTTGGCGGTGTGTGTGGGGTGCATGGGAAAGAGATTTGTGACAGCGGCTGCAGGGGAGGGTGGGTGCGGAGCTGCTCAGTTTGAAGAGCTAGTATCACCTGGAGCATGTCCACTTAGCACTCCATAACATCTAAGATCCGCTCCGTGGCTTTTTTCTGGTGTGCCACGTTCTCCTTTCGGTCCCTCTTCTCGCTGTCCTGCCACTCCTTCAATTCCTGTTTCTTGGCAGTGGAGTGCATCATAACCTCATGGAGAAAGTCCTTCTTAGTTCTTCTTGGCCACTTTCTAATTCTGTGCAGCCGTTCTGCCACCGATAACAAAGAGGGAGGCTGGGCTCCCAAGATCATCTCTGTGAAATTTAAATGCAACATTTTACAGAAGCAGTATTGTTTGCAACACAGATAACACTAATTCAGTGCTTTAAAACACAGCCAGTACTCACACACCTGTCACTAACTGGCTGACCCCAGGCAAGCACACATGAGCCACAAGACCCCCAAAATGGTGAGTAGCCAAGGAAAGTGTGGGCCCCTTACTGAATGAGGGAAGCAACCTAATGACAGAGGATGTGGAAAAAGCTAATGTACTCAATGATTTTTTTGCCTCTGTCTTCACAAACAAAGTCAGCTCCCAGACTGCTGCACTGGGTAGCACAGTATGGGGAAAAAGAAGAACAGGAGTACTTGTGGCACCTTAGAGACTAACAAATTTA